AGCCCCGAGGGGTCCCCGGCGGCGCCCCCCTGCCTCCCCCCCGCGCTTCCTCCTCCGCTCCCTTTCCCCCGCGGGCAACGTTTGCAGCAGGCAATCGAAAAGGGGGTTTTCTGCCCTGGATACGTCTCGTCAGGCTTTTCTCGATCCCGGACAGACCCGAAGCTGGTCTGCGTCACGAAGGAGCAATGTCCAGAAACGTATTTATTTTCTAGTGTGCAGTAAAATGCTGAAAAAAGCCAGTTTCGGTTCATTTATATTTACTCCCAATGCTTTGGACGTTCCCTTAGATCACCAAGAGTATTTTGTACTACAGCATTCCTTTAGATAACCAGTGGGTTTTATACTATTGCTTCAGTAATAATTACCGACTGGTGTGACACCATTTAACGCAGAACGAGTTAAAGCAAATATTCAAGGGTTTCAAGCAACCAAATTTCAAGGACTGCTGGGAGACTTTCCTCTTCGAAAATGTTTATCAGAGGCCAAAGATGTGATTTAAGATTTGGTAGAGCTTTTTGATATTTTTCTTTCTGGGCCTGGAGTTGTGTGGGCACCAAAACATTTCCGAAACATTTCGCACACACGAGGGCATATGCCAGTTCACAGAAGGGCTTCCTATTCTCTTCAAGATAGGGTAGGTAGCCCTAAGTCAAACAAGTAACGTTATAGGCTTGGTACCCAGCACTGCACACCTAAAACACGGCTTACTGCAGTCTGCGAAACGTCGACAAGGAAAATCGTTCTGCGAGGGCGGCTTCCAGGAGGAACTGAAATTTGTAGATTTTGCAGATCAGGTTTCCCTGCAGAAAGAGGTACTGGGGCTGAGAGTCAGTGCAGAGACACAGAGCCTTTGTGCAGGGAACGGCAGTCTCCTGCACGCGCACCCCGAGCTGCCTCCCCGGAGGAAGCAACGCAGCTCCACGGCAGCAGCAAGCATTTAGAAGGAAGCAGTGGTACAGCGCGAGCCAGGAGTTCGGAGTCTTGGACTTCTCTCCGTTCTGTGAGGCAAGCACGCTGCCCCTAAGCATTAAGGGAAATGCTGAGCTTTCTTTCAATTGTTTATTCAACTTTCTGGGTTACTTGTTATCAGGCATGAGAAAACCTTTATGCTGGAAAGCTGCGTGTATCTGATGTTATAGTAAGGTCCCCCCACCCCGCCCCGAAATGTGTATTTGCAGAGAAGACAAAAGGAAGAAAAGAGGTATTTTACAACAAAAGGGGGCTACAAAAAAAAAAAAAGAGCTAGAAAGAGAGACACTGAGAAGCTTTCACAAAACTTAAACACTGAGCTACTTCTTTGACCTCTGCTAATCGTGATGGAGTGGTATTTACAGGAGGATTAACACCTTTCATCATGGATCATAGAGGAGACGGACAAGAGGTGACAGTAAAGGCTGTTGGAGTGAAGATACCTTTCAACTTTTCTGCATGGTTTTTTGGTTCTAGCTCCCTCTGCTACCATCAGCCTAGTAGTCTCTTACAGCAACCGCAGTGCAAGAGCATATTGTGGTTAAAACAGCCGACAGCTTGTCAAGAGTACTGCTCTGCTGTCACCGTGAGAAGGAATTGCATCAGTGACACTGAATTTATGAAAACAGTTATATGAAAATAATTGCAGGGTAGGATTTTGCTCAAAGTATAGGTCTTTCCAGCAGGCAGCAATTTCAAAAAGTTTTAGAGACTAATTTGCATTGTTCTAATTAAGCAAATCATAGGCTACTTAAAACAGTTTTGCGCTACTGAAAATACCCTTCACTCAAGATGGCACATGAAGTCAAACAATAATTTTGTATGTGTGTATTATTAAGGAAAAGGATGTTCTGAAGGAAAAAACAAGATTCTAGAATGAAGGAAAAAAATATTTAAGATTCTATAAACGATTATGTAGTCCAAGTCGTCACTGTTGTAGACAGTTGGAGTAAAAACACAACACAAGAAGCAGTGGTATCAATGGTACCAGGGAGAATTTAGATATTGCAATGCAAGGTAGTATTTCACAGAAATGGATTTCATGAATAAATACAAAGGAAGAGAGATGTAAGGTTGACTCTGAAAATTATTGCACCTAACTTCCAGTTTAGTAATCTAACTCTATTCAGTAGCTTTTAAATAGATATTTAATTTAAGGTGTATTCCTAAGTCTCCTTTGCGAAGGCTAAATTCTTTGCTTAGAACAAAGCCTGAAGAGAAATGCCTTTGCTGGCTAAGGACTGACTTATTAAGGAGGGCATAGGAGAAAAACAAGAATAGTGATAGCTCAGAGAAAACAGACTTGTTGGATGACAAGGAGCAGGGATTTAGACAATGTTGAAAGTAGAGGCACTGCAGAAGTTTAAAGGCTCAGATAAAAAAGGTGGCTCTGCTGATACGAGGTCTTAGATGACATAGCTATATTGTACTGTTTTCATGGTTATCTGTACATGTAGGTGAGTGTGCAGCTCCTGCATGCGTGTGTGTGTGTGTGTGTGTGTGTGTGTGAGAGAGAGAGAGAGAGAGAGAGAGAGAGAGAGAGAGAGAGAGAGACAGAGAGAGAGAGAGTTTAACAAGAATCCTAGAAAAAACATGAAGGAGAAAAAAGGAACCTTTTTTCTCATAAATGAAGGCAACAGCAGCTTCTTACTGTACCTGTCACTTATATGGACAGTATGCCAGTGTGATCCCTGTAATAGTGCACCTAAATCATAAACTTGCTGTGTATAAAATATGTCTTACACACGAGATTATATTAGCTCTAATTGCATCTGGGCAGAGGCAGAGGCAGGTGAACAGACTGGCTAAAGATAAAGAGTACCAGCCTTAAGCATTTTAGGTTAATAGGTCAGGAAGAACAATCACCAGTATTTGCCCATATTTACTTATTCTCAAATACGTGTGCATAGCTGTTTAGGCATGAATTGGAAATGAGACAGCACCTTTGAGTTTTAATAGTATTTGGCTCCCGACAAAGCCATGAAGGGTATTTGTATTTGTACCCAAGCCCTAAATTCAAAAGTAAATAAGGGGATCGGCTAGAACAAAGGCAATACTTGTGGCAGGCTACTTGGAGTAGTTAGTATGTTTGTGGGTACACAAGAGCAGAGATTCAGAGCTGGTGGGAACAGCAGGGTGCCTGGATATTGCCCTAAACACTGAATTCCCAGCTGACACTTAGAACTTCTTAGAGACATTCTGTAATTAAAGCTAAACAGTTAGAGAGAAATCGGATTAAGTTTGAGCTAAAATTGCCCACTGTATCTGATTTATTATAACCCTTTTAATTTCAAATTATGCAGTTAAAAGCATGAACGGAAGTCGTTCTTAAATGAGTCTTATTTGCTGTACCACTAAGTCTGTCTCCTATTGCAAGGTAAATTTGAATAAGCCCTTTAAACCTAGGTTGCTGTATTTATTATCTCTGCAGAGGTAGAACAGGGGTTTAATAACTCTGAATAAAGCAATGAGAAGAGCTTGGAAGCTGGGAGAGATTTTTCCTGCCAATCTTCAAAGGGTCATTGTAGTAATGCCAAATGCTAAATGTTTGGAAAGAGTTCCCGTCAGCAGATAACATCCCCCCTGTAAGCAGCAGATGGCTGGGAGATATCCCACAGCTCTGGGCAAATCTAGAAGTATCAGAGAGTGATGAGTTCTCTTGCACTTGGGCTTCAAAGTTTTTCAGTCTTTCTGTTTGTAAAAATAATTTCTTTTTAAATTGTGCAAAAGGGTATATGTGAATGGTAAGTGAACTTGTCCTTTCTGAAAAAAATAAATAGTTAACATTCTTTTTCTAATCTAGTCAATTCTGTTCTTCAAGTCAAATTCCAACCTTCCTTCCAAATTGTGGGTTGTGTGGCTTTTAATTTAGCTAAGGTTCATTTGACTTAAAAACATGGTTTAACTGCTCTGAAGTTAGCTGTCCTCAAATATCACTAAGACACACGCACTACGGCAGTTCCAGCTCAGAAATGAGATAGTGGATTGTACCTCGCATTTCTAATTTTGGCACCAAATAAATAGAAACGAAGAGTCAGTAATGGTCGTATGCATTCATTTATTTCAGTCATTTTGTGGCTAATTTTACATCATTTCAAGAGGTTACATTTGCTCACGTTTATTCTGCTGGCAGCTTTTCCTGAAAACTGCATGGCTTTTGAGTGGCATTTGTTTTTCAAAATGCTTTTAAGATTGGTAGAGAGGATTTTTAAAACTGCTGTGTAAATGTACTCAGTGTTGACAGTCTGTTTAACTTTCAGAAGTAATTACTTCTTCAGTGTATTTTGGGTCCTAATTCTCTTGCATACGTGCCTTTTGTATATACTAGATTTGACTTATGTAGTAAAAGACTGCAGTACAGATATTTATTGTTATCTGGTTTGGATAAGTGATATAAGCTTTGATATAAATTGTAGGAAATCTTTCTCCAGTACTTAGAGGGTTATTGGGAGCCAAATAAAATCAGTAGTAGGCTTTATCAGCTTCAATTGTCTTTGGATCAGCCCATTACTGCTTTGTGGTTCTCAAGTATTTTTACATTGTTTTTATATAATGGCCTGAAACTTGACTCTAAGGTCTGTCAGCTGTGTTTGCTCAGAACATGCCAGAATATTTTGAAGTTTGGGAAGTCCCTTGCCTGGAGGAAGATTAATGGAATTAATCTTTGTTGTACGCATGTTGTCGCTACTGCCATAGTAGTGACATGTAATTATACCGATCACTTACATGTGATACACTCTCAATTATTAATATTTCTCTTTCTATCTCCTATGGTGTTTATCTTCATGTGTGTACAACTTATTAAGCTACAATTTTTGAAAGGTAGAAAAAAATATAAAATTGATTCTATAACTTATATAGAATCAGTGTTGAGATTTGAGAATCAGGTTCTTACCATGAACCTTGGTAAGGTTCATGGCATTGATCTTGGAGGTAACCATGTACTCCATACTCTCAGTCTTTAGCATGTTTGTATTTGCATTATTATTTTTGATATTTGTCAAAGAAAAATTAATGTTACTGGATGAAAGTCTTGACTAGATCACAATATGTCTTCTACTGCAGGTGAGATGCAGAAGAGAAAAAATACTGTTAAAATATATAAGCTATTGAGGTGATGAACAAATAATACAATATCTTTTCTCAAATTCAGAAATTACCTTTGTTAGTATCAAAGACTTTGATCCTATAAAGACTAAAACGTATTTTAGTGAAATCACAGAATCACAGAATGGTTGAGGTTGGAAAGGACCTCTGGAGATCATCTCGTCCAACCCCCTTGCTCAAGCAGGGTCACCTAGAGCAGGTTGCTCAGGACCCTGTCCAGATTGCTTTGTCTATCTCCAAGGAAGGAGACCCCACAACCTCTCTGGGCAACCTTTTCCACTGCTCAGTCACCCTCCCAGTAAAGAAGTTTTTCCTCACGTTCACATGGAACTTCCTGTGTTTCAGTTTGTGCTCGTTGCCTCTTGTCCTATTGCTGGGCACCACGGAGAAGAATCTGGCCCCATCCTCTTGACACCCTCCCTTCAGATACTTCTATACATTGATCAGATCCCCCCTCAGTCTTCTCTCCTCTACGCTGAACAGGCCCAGCTCTCTCAGCCTTTCCTCATAGGAGAGATGCTCCAGCCCCTTAATCATCTGAGTAGCCCTCCGCTGGACTCGCTCCAGTAGAATCCCTCAAGAAGAAGAGAGATTTAAACTCAAACCTCCCACATTCTAGTGATAACAACACTTGCTTTCGTTATGAACCTATCATTACTCCTCCTGGTTTTTATTTTATAATATATGTGACCGACTAACCAGGTTCTAAGTCAGTAAGATCACTTGGCAGCTGACTTTAGCTGTGTCCAAATACACTCACTTCTGATAAGTGCATCCTTATCCAAACTCAGTGGTTATCTGCTGACACCGAATATGCAAATAAATAAGTTGTTACTAGCTCAGCAAGGAAAAGACAGATTCACTAAAGCAGAAAAAGCGCATTCTTCGGCTTTGTTTCATGATCCTAATCAGGTCCCTGACTCAAGGAGAGAGTTCACAGTTGAGAATCACAAAAGGAAGGAAGCACATCAATCCCGGGGCATAAGGTTTCCTCAGCTTTTGCTACTATGCTAAGTTAGGCTGTGCCTTTTCTTAAGCCTTTGCCTGCTTTGTAGAGAATGCCGATATGCCTCCTGAAGGCTTAAGCTCATTTGTAAGACTAGAAATAGAAATATGTGAAGAAATCCCCTTTTAGATTTACCTTGAAACTCATATATTTCTCATAGATATTTGAATTTCAACAAACCTCTATATTCCAGTTTATGAAAGATGCTATTGGAAAATTTCTGAGCAGTTTTAATTAGAGTGTATATCATGAATTTATTAAAGCTCATGAGACTATGTAAAACCAACAAGGAGTAGGATGGTAAGAACAGATGCGCTCTAAAGGAGCAAAAGCCCAGACCATCAGCTGGTTTAAGCTGAGTGGGATTGCACTGATTTAATCTTGCGTACAATTTCAAACAGAATTCCTGTCTCCCTGTTAATCTGTATGCAGAAGTAAAAAAATGAGAAATATTTGTAAGTCTTCACAGAGAGATGCAAACATGACCTGTTCCCCCAGTTTTCCATTTGGCTTTTTTGAGGCTTTAAACAAGAATTTAGAGGAACACAGGTTTTCCCTACCTCACAGTAAAAGAAAATGTTTTCTGTAGGTTCCCCAGATAAAATTGTTTGTTTTTCTTGGACTGGATTAAGACGTCTGGCTGCAGAGAGTACTTTCTTAGTCCAGAAATTTTGAAAAGGTTTTTTTTTTTTAACATCTGTAGTTCGAAGGTGCTGGAAGGATAGGCTCTGGCTATTTCCCTGTTAACTTCCCTCTCTGGTGGTTTGGCCAGCTGAAATGTTAGGTTAACACTGATGATTTTTAAATGCTTTAAAGAACAGAACATGACTCAAACTACCTGAAGTCTGCTGACAAAAGAACAAAGCACAGAATTCATTTTGAAGTAGTAATAAACAAAATACGCAAAAATTATTTTACAAAACTGTGCAAGATACTGTTACTAGTTGGATTTCTAAAAAATCAAACAGTGTGAAAATCCAGCATGAAAATCCATTGCAATGCTATTTCAGTACTATCCTGGATTTAAAAGCCTGGTGCTAAATTAATTACACTGGACTGTTTTGAGGGCTATTAGTTTCAAGGCCTGTTAAACACAATGATGCAGATACAGTGTCTGATTTGGGATGCCCTAAGCATCAGACTGTAGAAAATTGAGAAGCTATACTACGAGAAGGAATTTCATAACGTTTCCGTTGTTACACCGTTTTCACTAAACAACATGACATCAGTGACTCTAAGGCACTGTTACTGATATCGCCTGACTTTTCTTATGTTCTTAACCTCTAACAATCGGACCTACAGACAAAAGGATGCACAAAATAAGGCAGCAACAGCTACCTAACCATTGTTGAATTTACTTGGGAGGCCAAGTAAACCCAACCATAACTTGGTTTTGAATCTAACCCTTTCTTTCTCTTTTTGCCCTTATCTTGTAGATAAGTTCATGATTTAGTTGTAAAATAAGTAAAGAGTACTTAAGTAAGATTAAACATGTGCATATAGATTTTCTGGACAGGACCATTATTATTTTAGTGATGTAAAAATATGTCTTAAAATGAAAATGGGATATCAGTGCAAAGCTGGATGAAAACATGCTCTAGATAGGATGGGAAACAATACCAATTGGTATTGTTTCATATGTGCTGAAGCATGCGTACCACATTGGGAAGTATTATGGGGGGGAAGGGAGAGGAGGAGCTCACCTCAGCTGAGGTGAAGGTCAGCCTGAAAATTTCAAGTGAATGTTTCTGAATCAAATCAGCCATGGGCATCTGAAAGGGGAAAGAGAAAACCAAAGCAAAACCAACCAACAGAAACTCCAAATAAACCAAAGCAGGTTGGGATCAATATTTGTAGTCCTATGGACTGTTCCAGTGCCCCTGGGAAAGATGATAGTCTTTGCATAGGTTCTGTCAGAGACTGGTTTTGGTGCTAACATCCAGATCTTGCCAAACTATGTGCATCTACATGTTCACACTTTTGTATCCAAGCGAAGGGGGACTGTTCAACTGCTGGGCACTAAAATCACAGCAAAGCCTCTGTAGAATCAGGTCTGTTACCTTCTCCCTGTTTGCGACTCATTTATCATTTTACCAGTTTGTCAGATTTATACTTTATTTACTTTTCTAACATTTTTCTGACTAAACATTGGATAAGTTTCCCAGTGCAAAGAGTTTGCTAATTCAAAAGCCCTACAGTGTGTAGATGCCATACGCATTCCTGACAGAAAATTTACTGACTGCAGTCTCTGTAGGAATGGATGATAAAGAGGCAAAGTGGTACTAATCTCTCTGAAATTGGCTTAGGGTGTTTTGCTCATACTCTCAAGATTCAACAAATCACAGTATCTGGAGTTCAGAAATATTTTTATTTGGGTCCCATTGTCAATGAGATACCCTAGGATACAGACATGACCCACACAACAGAGAAATAAAAAAATAATGGTCTCTACCAAATTCCCTGCTACTGAAGGAATCACGGGCATTGACAATGTCTTTTATTTCTCTCTTTCCATCTTCTTCCCTTTCAGTGGTACATTATAGTTTGTGCTATCCATACACATCATGTTTTTTAGTGAAAATTGGAAAGCGTCCCTTCAGGGTTTGAGGGATCCTTCTAGACTAAAACGCTATTACATGGTTGCCTGATCTTGCTGTTGGCAGTTTAGTTCAAGGCTGTGACTTTATTTTTTGCACACCTAATTCACCAGTTTAAGTCAACAGATCCGAGGTTTGGAATGTTCATTTAACATTATTTTTCAAAAGAGCCTTAAGTTTCATAGCTAACAACAGAAAGCAACAGAAAGGTTGAGAGAGGACAATTTTAAGAAAATATCCTGGAAGCGAGAGCCTACAAACTCTGGAAAAATCTTCTCAGGACAGTAGCAATAGCCTCATTTGAGTGACATAAATGGAGGCCTGAAACTACAGTCAGGAATCTGTTTCAAGGAAAATCTTATTTTGGCAAAAAATAGAGACAATTATGTGATTTTCCCATATGATGGAATCTTAAATAAGTTTCATAAATAAAATTTTTAAAGTTAGCTTTCTTTAATGAGGTTTCTACCTTTGAATGAATTAAGTGCCAGAAAGTAATCTGCTTTACAGGTAATGGATTACATCTTAAACCTGTGCAAATCATCATACCTGTATTGATAACATCAGAGAGATGTCTGCTTCTGTGAAAATTGGAAGTGGAAGGTAGGAAATATCTAATTCAATTAGATTTGTGTAAAGCATTAATTGGTTTAACTGTTAGTATAAACTGTGACACGTTCTATGCAATCTTTTTTAACTGAATATCTGTCTGAGATATTGTTGATTAAATACTGCCCTTAGTTTTACTCTAATCCGAGGTTTCTCTTCTGTTGCCTTTATCTATGGTTAGGAATTCTGGGAGGAACTCTATGAGATGGTGAGACAGTTTATGGAGACAGAGATCTGAGCAAGGATGAAGAGAATGTAACTGCAATATGCTGACATGTATTACTGAAAATAATCAATTCTGTCATTTCAGAAATAGATCCTAAGCAGGTCTGAGAAAGAAAGTCAGATGGTTTGTGGGAAAAAAAATTATTGTGGCATCTTTCTTAATGATACATATTTTGTTCCAATGACTGCCTAGGTCAAGAATGGATAAAATGATAACTTCAGTAATAACATTTGGACAGAGATAGTACTACTACTGAAAAAACCCAGCTACTTTTTTCCTCAAGCAAGAACAAGGCTGTACTCTGTCAGCTTCTAACAAGTAAGTTGCCTCTCCTACACAGACTTTCTCCAGACACTTGTCTCTGCCTTAATCCTTTCCCAAGACCTGTGATTATAAAATTATTTC